CACACACTTCCTGGAACATGGCAGGCCCCTGGGAGCAGCTGAAGAACTGAATCTGAATTCTCCAACCCTGACAATGCATGTGGGGGGGTGGGGGACAATGCCAGGCCTTCCAGAAGTTCTCAGGTGCATTACGGATGACAGGCAAGGTCTACGCTTTTTAAAGCATGCACACTCCTTGCAGAATGCAGTTTACACCCACACCCTGAGTTATGCACACCACCTGTACAAGTTCTTCTCAGCACAACTCCTGAAATCACAAAAACTTAATTTTTCATTTAAAAATGAACGAAAACAGCTCTCTATTATTTTCTTCCTACACCCCCATTGTTTCATCTTGATCAACTAGTGATGTGTGCTGCCTATATCGGTACCATCCTTCCACGAACTGGCTTGCCCTCAGCACCTGCCCCCACTCCTACCTTCTCAGGAATTGGTTCTCCAAAAAAAACCACCAAAAGGTCATTTCCATGTTAGTTATCCTCTACAGAGTACAATGAGACAGATCCCAATTTCCAAGAATTTTCTATGGACCTGCCTCTGGAATCCAGTGTCACCTGAGATACAGCTGACCCTTAAACAACTTGGGAGTTAGCGGCGCAGAGCTCCCTTGCAGTGAAAACTCCACTATAATGACAGCCGGCCCCCACAAACACGGATCCAAAAAGTGTAGTCACCCCTATAAACACGGTTGGAACTGCACAGGTCACCTGGAAAAAGTCCCCACAGAAGACGTCCTGCACAGCTCAAACCCGTGTTGTGCAAGAGTCACCTCTACTTACTTATGATAACAGTAGCACAATATGTATCATACGCGCTACAATCAGTTGGATTAGTGCAGTTCATAGAATCGTATTCCTCACAAACGTGACACCTCAGTACAGCTGAAAGGAGGAATAAAAGACAGCGGAGTGTTACAGTTCTCCAGTCCTATCCGAGGGACGCCCACCAGACTCTCCCTTCTCCAATGAGCACCAAACCGGTGGGTCCCGCCGTTCCCACGCCCCACGACCACCCCATCGGGAGCTTGGCGCATGCACCCACAGGGTGTGTCTCCCCGCCCCACACACACACACACACACAGCGTGGACGCAGATGTGCACAAAAGCACCTTACAGAGACCCCCATAACCTCGGGCACGCCCACACACACCGTGGCATCTCATATTCTACTGCGCCAGGGTTCCGGCGTCTGCTGCCACCCACCTTACCTCCTCAGCTCCCTACACCCGCTTCGGGGCCCCCCAGGCCCTGCACCCTGACACCGCACAGTAGCCTACTCCCAGGGCGGGACTCGCTCCCGGAGAAGGAGGATTCCTGTTCTCAGGGACAGCTCCAGAAGGCCCCACCAGGCCCAGGCCAGGCCTGGTGACAGCACCAGGAAGGCAGGGCCACTGAGGGGACAGCAGGCTGCGGGGACTACGCCGCGGTTCCGGCCACCACTTCCTGACCTTGGGGTAGGGAGCCCCCAAGCAAGAGGCTCCCCAACTAGGTGTCCCGATCAGCTGGCCACGCTCCTGACGCGCGCTTGCGCACTGATTCCTGTGCCATGGAACCGCCCACACCCACCTGGGGCCACGGCAGTGTCCAAGCACAAATGGCCACCCCAGGGTCTGCACAGGCGTTCCAGCCTGCCACCTGGTCCCCGCTCAGGAGCCCGAGGGGCTTGGACTCACCTTGTCTCCCAGTCAAGCTGACGTTTGTTTCCGCCCATGGCAGGCCCATGACCAGCAGCAATGCAAGGAGAAGCGTCATTTCCGGGGCTGCCTGGCCCTGGACGTGAGAAGCAGGGCCACTTGGTCAGCTCTGAGGGTCCGGGTTTACCCTGGCGCCGGTGTGCCCGCCGCCATTCAAGTTCTTTGCCACTAGATGCCGGGGCAGCCCACCTGCTCCTCACCCACGGACCTGAGCCGGGGGTGCCCCATTGCGTTGGGTGGCCTGTCACCACTACCAAGCCCCCTCCATCGCCAAGGACCCCAGCGCCCCCTGGAACTCTACCTTCACGCATCCACCCCCAGCACACCTTCGCGGCAGCTTTCCTGCTGCCCCTCCCTGAAGGCCGCGCCAGGTTCCCCCACCCCCGCCTTGCTCCTGCTCACCCAGGAGCCCCCCAGGGCCCCCTCCCACGGCCATCCCCACGGGCATCCTGACCTTACTGCACAGGAAGGCATGGGTGACCCCACAGCGCGGGTGGACCGAGGCCAGCTCTCTGCTCAAGTGGCCCGCTGGCCTCACACCCCTTACACCCTCCAGGACCGGCCCCTTCTGGGATGGTCCCCATTCTGAACCCCCTTCTCACTGTCTGGCACTCGGGGGGTCTACAGGGACGGACACAGGGCCCTGGATTTGACGAGGCAGGGTCCTCTCACGGGGCGCATGGGCGCTCACCGGCCCTTCCCCTGGCCTGGCAGCGGAGCCCACGCCCACGGCGCAGGGTCCCAGGCCCAGGCCAGCGCGACCCCGCGTCCTCCCGGGGAGCCTCTCAGGAGCCCATCTGAACGTGCGTTGCGCGTTCTGCCCGTCAGGGCCCAAAGGAGACCCGGCCCTGGCTCCCGTGAGGCTTCGCGCGCCGCCTACAAGGTTCCATTTCCCTCCCAGGGCCGGCGCCGCAGAGGAAGGCAGGCGGAGGAGAGGGCCCACGCCGCTCCTTTGGGCCCCCCCCCTCAGGACGCCTCCTGCTGTGGGATTCCGGCTCCCTCCCGATGGTACCTCGAGCTCGCCCGCTGTGCGCCCGTCAACGACCTCCAGGCCCCGCCAGGGGGGAAGGTTCCAGGTCTGGGTGCGCCACGTTCCAGGTCCGGGTGCGTCACGGCGGATGGCACGGAAGGTTCTAGGTCCGGGTGCGTCACGTTCCAGGTCTGGGTGCGTCACGACGGGCGGCGCGGAAGGTTCCAGGTCTGGGTGTGACACAGCGGGCGGCGCGAGAGGTTCCAGGGACGGGTGCGTCACGTTCCAGGTCCGGGTGCGTCACGGCGGGCGGCGCGGAAGGTTCCAGGTCCGGGT